AAAAAACAGACCGCTTTTTCCATCAAAAAAATTAAAAAAGAAAAGTTAGTGGTGTTTCCGAACACTTTTTTTTTAAACGATGGACATGGAAAACTAGTGATATTGGAACTTCAAATAAGCCATTTTGTTCTGTTTTGAATGCTCTTTCCAATGATGTGTAATAAATTGCGATAAGAGAGAATCGGTAAGAATCGATTGCACGTCTCACTAAAACCAAGTTTTTTGAACTGAAGACCAACTCTAAGAAGAAAACATTTTTTAGAAACAGATAAAGTGTGAAATTCTCTATCAACTGATCTATGTTTCCTTCGTTTTAGAGTAAATCTCTTTGTTAGGAAATGCAAAATATTGGAAAGCACTTAAATTTATTCATGCAGAGAAAAATCATTTTCATTATATAAAATCTATTTTGATAGAATGTAGTTCCTTTCTATTTTAGTGTATTGTGTAGTCCGCATCTCATACTATCTAAATCACCATTTTGATAAGACCCTTACACTATAATAATGTGAAAGAAAATTTAAAAAAATAAACGCATTGAACAAGTTGAAAAATACAAATTCGCTTAAATTTTTGTCCTCGACTGTATTTATTATGGAATTTCAAGTGAAGTATTTCAATCGATTTTTAATTTGCTATATTTGTTTGACTGTTTCAATAAGCTAGAACATGGTTTTTCTTAAAAACTAATCAAAACAAAATAAAATTTTTGTCTTTTGAATAAATACTGCTGTTGTTGTTTTGTTTTTTGAAAAAAATTATTCCTATGTGGTTAACTTAAATAAAAAAATAAACAAACAGATTGGTAAACAAGATAGTTTGTTTTCATATCTAATAGAAAAATAAAATTATTAAAAATAAATTGATGATTTTCGATATATATATTTTCTTTTTATTATTTTCAATAAAAAATTATCGAAAAAAAACATATTACATCGATTCATTTTTCAAATATCAAAAATGTATATAGGAATTTTCTTTTTTTTTTGCTTAGAAAAATATTTATTTTTGATTGGATAAAATCAAATATCCAATCATTGATGATGAGAAGCGCTACATTCATCGTCAAAATTGAACTATTGAGCATCTATTCTTATCATTGAATGATTTGTACATAGTTTATCAACCTAATTATTTACAAAAATTGAAATAAATAATATTTATTTAATGAAATTTATTTGATTTTTTCTATTATTTTTTTCTATGAATGTTAAAGAATTATTTGAACATCATTGAACGCACAGTGCATTATACGAACAATTTATGTAGAGGACCAAGAGTCGGACAAATGTTTTCTATTCCAAGGTTAATAACATTCAACGAAACAACGTTACCAGCAGCCGACTGTCTATTTGTTCAAGGCAATTGCGATAGGAAAAAAAAGAAAAGAAAAGACCTACTACTTCACATTTATACATAAATAGTTGATTACTATGAACATAAAATGGATCTATTCCATTTTTTTTTTCATTTAATAGTACATATATTAATAGGATGAAAAGAAAGGAGATGTTCAGCTTGGAAGGGACCTTGATTTAGAAGGTCATTGAAGGTCGTAACAAGGTTGCTGATAGTAGAATATAGCAATCAATGCGATAACGATATGCCAAATATCAATTAAATGTTGTACTCTTGTTCAACCTATTCTAATTCTTTCTTTTTTTTTTAGATGTTTGCCCTTAAGACATTTACCAATTTATGTACTACTCAATCAAGTAAATAAATTTTATATATTAATTTAAATTTTTGATTTATTTTAATGTTTTAGTTCTTCAAAATTCAATACGTACGGCAAAAGTATTTAAACCAAATTTACTTCTTGCAAAATATCGTAATATTAAAGTAAAAGATGGTCAATGGGTTGAAAAAGATACTATTCTTACTTTACAGAACAATCTTGTTTTATATCCTGGCGAAAATGTAAATAAAAATATTTCTTTAAAAAAAAATTATTATTATTATTATTATTATACTTTTATATTAATTAGACATCTGTCGCTTATGATTATACAATTCGATCAATAGTACCAGGATTTGTTGTAATAACAACTGAATCTATAAAACCATATCCACATAGTCCATTATTTCGTTATATTAATAGTGGAAATGATGTTAAACGAAATTTTATACATGTTTTACCACCACAACGTCAAGCAACTTTTCATCTTATTGATCAATTATAGAAATCGATTGAAAAATGAGTTTCTTTCAATGGTAGGATAAGAAAAAAAAAAGAATCATCGTTGTAGATCAATGTTGTTTTGTTTTGTTTTTTTTCTTTTTTTTGCTGTTGTTATTGTTCACCTTTACATATATATATATATATATTTATAACTATAGCTTGATGTAAACGTCTTTGATATAATGTGTCAATGTTGTTTTGTAGATTGTGGTATAATATACAACAAATTCTATTTTTAGTCATAATGAATTCAATATTTTAAATGTGAATAAATATGTATCAATTTATTATCAATTTGAACAGTATTTCTTATTAATATTAAAATTAATTATTATGACTGTTGTTATTCAAACACGTGATCGTTGTCGTATTTGTTTTTCATTACTTTTACGTGATCGTTCAATATGTTGTCAAAAATCTTATGATTTATTTAAACATATTGAACGACGAAAAATTCCATTTAATAAATTAAATTCATATCAAATTAAAATACGAAATCAAACTGTTTGTTTTCATGATTTAATTTTACGTTATTTACATACACAAATACATCAAACAAGAAATTTTTCAAATTTAATATGTTATAATTGTTCAATAATATTATTAGATATTGAACAATGTGCTAAATATTTACATAAAAAAATTAATCAAGTTAAAATTAAATTAAATAAAACAAATCGTCTTCGAACATCATCATTATCAGCAACATTTCAAAAGAAAAAACAACAAACAACAATTATTAAACAAGAACAATTACCTATTATTAATTCAGATTCTGATGAAGAATTTGATAATATTGATGATGAAGAGGTTTGTTATATTAATAAGAGATTTCTAAT